ATTGCGGCGATGTTCGTGTGCGCTTACTTGATTTATTTGTGTTTCTTCTTCAATTGATTGGCTACTGTCCTCAAAGTGATTGTTGTCAAGTGTGATGACGTTTTGTGTCCCTTGTGACGGGATGTCTCGTCTTTGGCTTCTCATTGCTACAGTTCTTGTTGATGCGTTGGTATGACTTGCAGTTTCGGAGTGTGAGCTAGGTATGGGCCTTGTAGTACTAGGTCTTATTGTTGGTGTGTCCCGGCAAGGCGTGGTTGAATGGTGTTTTTGACCGCACCTGAAACATCCTTGGCTTCTGCATTCTCTTACGTTGTGGTTTGCCTTTGCGCAGTTGAGACACAATTTGTTTCTGTTCAAGAACGATACTCGTTCTGTGATGGGAATTGTTCTGCAATCCTTTGAGGAGTGATTTGTTCGTTTGCAATATATGCACGGTTGTTGTGAGCGTTTCATCGTGTTCCCACTGAACCGCGATGCTGCCATAGATCTATTTGCTATGTTTTTTTGTGATTGTTCGATTCTCTCCTTGAGTTCAAGGATGCTTGAAAGATGGTTGTACAGTGTTGGCCATGTCCAAAGGGACGTGGTTTCTAGCTGTTCACGTTTCTCTAGCGCTTTTAACTGAACGCCTGATTCAAACTTTTTTAACACTGTATTCAAGAGCAACCTGTGGTTGGTGTCTTGCCCTTTGGTGGCTAATTGTGCCATTATTGCGGATATTTGGTCCAACAAGGAGATCTGTTGGGCGGTGGCGGGGCCTTTCGCGACTGTTTTTCTAACTGGGCGAAGAGCTCCTCTACAATTGAGCTGTCGCTGACCGTACTTGTGCTTCAAGGCTTCTATGACTAGGGGATAGTTGTCTTCGCTTATCTGATATCTGCTCGCCACTTGTCGAGCTTCTCCTGTTAAGGTTTGCAGTAAATAGTTGTATTTCATCATGAGTGGTATGGGTTGATCTTCGATATTTGCTTTAAATACGGCCCAGAATGCATCCCATTCTCTCTTGTTGCCTGAGAATCTTGGTAATTGTAAACGGGGGAGTAACCCTTGTGCTTGTAGGGAAGAAATATGCGACATGGGTGTTCGTTGTCCAGGAGTTTGTAGTGTGTTGTCCGCCAGAAGGTTTCGCCGGCGTTCTTCCAGTTCTCCGTTTCTGTGTAAGCGTGTGTTGATTTCTGTCTGTTTTTCACTTAGCTTTATTAACGCTTCCTCAGCGTTGCTTGTAGTTATAACTGCGGCATCCATGTATTCTTCGTAAGAACTTTCTTCTGCAATTTGCTGTTGTGTTTCTAGGGTCTTGAACAATTCTTCCATTCCCGACTGTGCTTGCTTGAGGGACTCTAGTAGTTTTTCAATGTTTGTTATGTGGGTGGTGAATTGTGGCGTGTTTGCCTTTTAAGATGTCGGTTGTTTCTTCTTCGGAACTCATGTTTGGGATGTTGAAGCTGGTGAGGGGTTTGGACCTCTTCCTATCAGCGCATGTCTTCGATGAGACTTAGCTGTTTTTGTGATGCGCGTTTTCCAAGGTTTCAACGGTGCCATAGCGGTGTGAGGTGGAGGGGTGATTTCGGATTACCCTTACGACGAACGCGAGTGATTTATTAGATAAAAATGCATTACCATCGAGCTTTGTTGGGCTCCCTATTGCTTAAACTGCGGCACTTATCGCATTGACAACACCAATGTCTGAATTAAAAACTTGTATCGATTGCTATGCGATGGAGCGGATTGCAAAAGGAAAAGAAAGGATACCTTTTTCAATTAACGTATTTCCTACGAGTTTGCTCTGTGTCAACTGCGGTGGTGTGACCGTAAAGCTAAACAGGGGAAATATGTTTGCGTTTTCAAAGAAACAATGCTAATTTATTTGATGTGTGTATGATTGTTGTTGTTCAGAATGGCAAAGCAAATATAAACACAATGAAAATATATAAATGAGAAGTGTAAACTCACCCGCAAAGCGAATATTGAAAATGCAAAGGGGTTTTTTTTGCAAATGCTATGTAATCGTAATGTATATAAGGAACTTGTATAAACTGTATTGATAAAGGTACCTGAGGTAGCGTGTTTGATGTCTGAACCGTATTGCGCTTTCTTGCCGTTGAGTGGCGCCCTGTGTATGTATGTATCAACCTAAATCGATTTTGAGATCGATTGGATGTATGTCTGTATGGAAAGGATTGATTTAGTACCTGTGTGTGAAGTTTTGCCGTAAGTGCTTATGTGTATGTGATCGATTGTATGCGAGTCTGTGATATTCACTCACGATTCGCCACAGATAACGTATGTCTGAAGAACTTATGTTGAGTTCTAATATGGCCGATGCACCAGAAAAATTGTGTTGGCGTGTATATGGGTTAATGTGTCTGTAATTTTAATGTCCTACTCACCGTAACGGCCGTAGATGCAGTCGTCGTACGTTGAGCGGCTTGACGTAGAGGTGGTTCAGTTTCTGGCCTCAAATACACGCGTTGACACAATTTTTGGATTATACACCAGAAATACCGTCGTGGCTCCACCACCGGGCAAGGGACCTCAAACTTGGGTAATTAAACTTTATTAATACTTTTACGCAAATTTTATCATCAATCACTCAAGATAAGAATGTTTACAAAAGGTCCGAACTTCTGACTGCATGAATTTTGATCCTTAGAGAAAACTTAACAAATTGCTAGACCAAACATTGCTGAGATGCAAGGAAAGCGAATTATGACTTATCATCAATGTGTATCGAGCTAATACTTATCATATCAAAGTACTTCAAGTGAAAAATGGCAATGATAAATGAGACCGGAATGATGAGACCGGAGGTAGATTGGATTAGGACGATTGGCAGCGAAGCGAAATCATTAAGTGATATGGAATGAAATGACAAAGCAGTGTGATTGCTCAGCATCGAAAATCCTATCAAATGGAATGAACTGCAAATGGAGGATATGGCAATACCAATTGGCTTGGTGCGAGAATGACAGAATGAAAATCGACATAGCACAATAGCTGCACGCGAAAAGGCTAACAAGATGCAGATGCGAGAAACTAGTGACAATGAAACGAAACGACGAGGGGGGGCACGGATCGGGGATCGAGTCCTGGAACTACGGGTATCGGCGTCCTGGGAACATATTTATATCGACGGGTTGGCGCGCGATCCTTCCAATCGATTTTTGATCTGCCCACACTTCTCTTTTGACTGGCTCGCTGAAAAAGGTGGATTTTCTTGTGATGATGATAGTGCGTCAGCACACTGCGCCCCCGCAAGTATCTGCCACCGGCGCACGATTTCCAAACAGTTAAACTTTTCTTCGGGCAGTTCGCACAGTGCTTTATTGTGAGCTCCGCTCCCACAGTAATCACAAATTGATGGCAAAATACATGTGCTCGGGCATAGCTGCAGGCATATTTTGCATAACGCAGAGTTTTCCACTATTCGTTTTCGCTCCGCCACTGTCTTGTATCGGTAACACATATCAGGATCGTGTTCGCCGACCGAGGAGCATAAAGAACACTTCGGTGTGTCACGGTCATCTCGAACTAGTAAAGTTTTCCTTCCAAACGATCTGAACTCGATGGACTCTAGTTCTTGAAGTCTCCTTTTTGCGTTTGTCACCTCTTCCGGCTCATGAGTTTCTTTGAAATTTTCTTCATCCATTTTGATTTCATCCATCTCGTCTGCGCGTATCAGTCCATCTACGGCTCTCTTCAGCTGCACCATGGCATTGATCTGGGAGTCTAACAGCAGTTCCACGTCCAACTTCTGATGAATGACGATCTCTGTGAGTCTTTGGTCGATTCCTTCCATAAAGTGTTTCGATTCTTTCCAAGGCCTTCTTAATGTCAACGGAGTTCTCGATGGAGTTGAGGGGGCCGCGTTCTACGGCAGTCCGTATGTGTGTAAGTTGGTCCAGAACTATATTCTCCTTCGGAAACTCGACGTAACTGTTGACCTTTGCATTTGATAGCTGTGTTAGCAGGTGATTCACATGCTCGATTTCTCTCTGGAGAATGGCGTTGTTTCAGAGTTCTGGTGTTTTCTCTTTTTTCCGGCCGCTCCTTTGTCTCGTACTGGTATTTGCTGGATTTGTTTGCCCCTCCAGCTTCAACTAGAAGACGATATATTTCCCAGTAAACTTCACCTTGCTGATAGTCCGCGATCATTTTTTGTTTAGCAACTTCGAGTTCGCATGTGGTATCGATAAGTGTTTGGTATATCGTTTTCTCTGTTTGAACTTGGTCGAGCTGTTGTCTTAGTTGGGTGACATCGGTTTGAATACGGTCGACATTAGCTATGTGATTAGTGATGTTATCATATATAATATCCAAACGACGCTGGATTTCTTTTTCGTCCAGAAGTGAGCGTGTGTTCTCACTGAGTGATCTAATGAAATTCACAGCTGCTGTCGTGCGGTCCATCCTATAATGAATCTGTATAATTTGCGAATTTAATGCATTCACTTCGAACTCGTTTTCGTCGTACGGGTAATTATTGTACTTGGCCCTATCCCGTAATCGATACCTGCTAGGCGGGTTAGGTGTGGATGCAGTATTCGCCGGTGGGCCGGGTGTTATTGGAGGACCGGATGCTGCTGACATATTCGCTTCGGGACTGGGTGGAGTGTTCTGTGGAGGCAGTGGTGTCTTACTTGTGTATTGACCTAGCTCCAATGGGATCAAGGCTGTAATTGGTCTGGAAACCAAGTGTCTGTTCGGTAGGATAAGCTCTACTTTACGTGTATATTCGTCTTGTGAAGGTAGTAGCTTGATTATCTTTGCTAGTTTCCAACAATTACGTGGCTGGAAGGGATCTTGCAAAAGCACTACTTGGCCTTCACGAGGGTTAATATTTGCAGTACGCCCTTGTTTGAGTAAACGCGAGTGATGTTCTCGTAAGGATTTGAGGTAGAGGTCACTCCAGAGGGTCCAGAATTTCTTCTACTAACGGCGCATGATGATTTTAGAGGCTTTTTCAGCATCTTGTCTAGTCTGCAATGATACAAGTTCCTGAGAGGGTAGGTATTGATCGGTATTGATGCTGTCTGCGTCCCAGTTATACGTGACCGTGAGGTGGTTCTGTAGGAAATCGATTGGTCTGATTGGTGTAATGTCATCGAAGATCTGTTTCCTTGGTATGTGAGAGGTCTGCTATTTAAGCATCCTTCAATTTCTGTTAGAATTGTAGACATACTGTCTATCGAGACGGATCTTTTCCCGAGTGTTTTGAGGAGGGATCTTTTGACATCTTTGATAAGTCGTTCATAGAATCCACCCTTCCAGGGGGCGTATGGTGTTATTCTTTGCCAACGTATGTGAGAGTTTGCTAGGAAGGATTGGACTTCGTCTTCAATGATCGAAGTTGTGTCTTCCGTCTTCTATCAT